GGGGGGGGGGGGGGGGGGGGGAGAGTGGAGGAGAGGGATGAGAAGGCTTTGTGACAGGTGGGATGTGGGGAGAGCAGAGAGCCACGGGGGAGGACCACACCACTGGAACGATCTGTAGCAAGAATCTGTCTCTATGGCTGTAAAAGCCCTGAGGGCGAGTGGAGACCCTGTAGAATTGTGTAGTCTTCCCTTTCCATGGCTGACGGCCATGTTGGAAAGGAAAGACACTTCCTGGGATAAAGAGAGCTCCCATCGCTCCCACTATGTGCCTGTGAGAGCACTGCAGAGAACAAATGCTCAAAAGAAGTACATGTGGCTCAAATTACATTTGTCTTTTATACTGTATACTTCCCATATTACATCTCGAGTAAACGCACACCTAACATAGAACCTATATTGCATTCCACCTCTTGCACACCTAACCACACAGACACCACCGCAACAGAACAATTATTGCAGAACCACACACTGCAAACAAATGAAGGGCTTTTAAAGTCTAAAATTATTAAATAAAATTAAATAAAACTGAAAAAAAGAAAACACTGATTTCTGTTTTTGACGTATTGTTATGTGTGCAAAAGAATTTCTAAAGCAACGCACAGAAGATCAGGTTGGAAAGGATTCTATCAACTACCTATCAAAAGGCAAGAACAAAGCTCAACTTCTCTGAACACAGATAAAAGATGATTAGAGAGCACATAACAGCCAAATGTACTTTCATATGCTATCTTTGAAACAAAACTGTATTTTCAAGGTTTGTGGGGAATATCTACACGTACCACTTTGTCCTCTTTCTGGTTGTCAGACGACAACAAGCTCCATTCAATATCCAGTGGTCCAGAATCTTCAGGGGCCAGAGAGAACTGGCAGTCCAGCTTCACACTCTGACCACTGGCCTTCTCCATAGATGTCGGGCTCGTAGATGTAATCTCGAGACCAGAGGCCAGACCTGTACAGAAACATGTAAAAAGGTAAATTAATGTCAACACTGCAACATGCATGATAATAAAACAACCAGTACAACAGGGTTCCAGCACCCCGACGCATTTCCAGCGGTTTCTGCAGTGTTCACTTTATTCAATTTAAGACTTTTTAATACCCTTTTAAAATCACATTAAATGCTAATCTCTGACATACGTAATAACGATGATTAGGAAAAAACATCTAGACACTGTTAATTAGCCCAACATAATTTATAAGTTCAACATTTGTCCTGGCGAGATTTTACCTGGAATTTGATCTCTTGCCTTCCTCTCTAGCTTTGCCAACACACAGTCTTTCAATTTCAATTTATTTTATTTTTTTTTAAATAACAGAAGACCACAGACTGAATTCATTCAGAAGGTGACTCATTCAATTCAAGGTTTTCAGTCACGTATAATTCTGTTGGTTGCATCCAACTGTATCATTTAGATGCAAAGTTGATGAAAATTGTTTTGTAGTGACTTGCTTTACAGAAATATTTCCAGTCAGCTGTCAAATGTTTTGAGTTGGGGAACGTGTCACCCATAAAATAAATATGGCTACATCTTGTCTGAGAAGTAACTCCTAAAATATGCATAATGTAAATCATACAGTGAAAAAAAAAGATTAATAGAGCAGAATGTAGCTGAAGGAATGATAATAAAGAGGAACTGTAGCCCATCACCAAACTGGAGCAGACTCTTAAGCATTTATTCTTAGAACGAATAAACATAATTTCCTGGTGACATCAACTGGGTTAAGATTCTCCATTCAATAAGAGATTTAAGCCGCGGCAAGGAACACAGTCCATAGAGAATGGAGTTGTCACATGCTGCCTCGACACATTAAAATCCATCTGACAGCCTGCCACCTTCCAGTCAGCGTGCGGGGGGAGAACAGCTTTATATATAAAAAAAGAAATCACCACAATATGTTGCTGCTGAAAAAGCACTGTAAATGCAGAACAGTTATCACGTCACACAAATGACATCAAACACGTGGAACTGAAATTTTCTGCTGATACTAAAGAGAATTTTTTACTCCATCTCAAACATAAAAACCATAGCATTTTCCTTAGCTTCATCTGCATCTCATTTAACTGTTTTCACACTGACTGTCAGATAGAGCTGACTAATGTGCAATGATTGGTTCAACAGCAGACAAACCTGGCAACTGTAAACACTTAACCTGTTAAACCTCTTTTCTCTTCCTGGAAAGGTTTCTTTTTTGATTACAAGGTATCCATGTAAGACAAACCAATGAGAGCACATGCATCTATGCGAACACAAATGGAACTCCATTAACCAGTGTGCATTATGTATGTCGTACTGTAGTGCAGATGATTTGTACTAGGGCTACAATCACCCTTCAATTCTGTATGAGCTACAGAAACTTGCAGTCCCTTCCAACTTCCAACCCACCTGACCACTACCTTTGTTTTATTAATCTGACAATGTGGCAGGTGGCGGACATGAAGGAGGCCACTCAACAGAACAGCACCCGATGTTATGTTTCTATCTGCTTCTATTCTGCTTCTCACTCAAATATACAGTATGGGCAAGGTCAAGGTGACAATTATGGATATATACAAGTAAGAAACTGGAAAATTAAATTATTTCTTTTGTAGTGTTTGGGATATTGAGACAAAGAGGATGTTGCCAGCTGATTGTGTAAAGGAAGTTTCTAGATCCTGGCCCTTAGGGTAAGGAGGGTGTAAGCTACAGGCTGAGGTCCCTGCCGCATCTCATGTCCATCAGCTCATATTCTGCCTCAAACCTCACTTCTTGCGCCTGGGACAACTGAATGAAAATACACCGCAGAGGCTTTACGCACACATATAGAGAGTGACAGTCTCAGTCACACTCGCTATTGTTAAAGCTCAGAGCCTGTGAGCACTTGATATGGTCGCAAAGCACGAGCATAGTTTTATTCGCCGGCTGCCGGTGCTGCAGCTGATCGTTTCAGCCCACAGATTTTGACAGACGCCCTTGATGAGCGATCCATCGCCTTGAGCAGAGGCAAGAGAAACGAGGAGCAATATAGGGAGAACTGAGATATGTGTCTATCACTGTCAAAACGGATACACAGCTTGGCATCTGCATGACGGAAAGCTGTGTCAATTCATCAAGCACTTAAAGAAGCTGGGGCATTTTTCAAAGTTGCTTGGAAAGGGGAGAAAATTGCCTTCTGTGAGAAAAAGAAAGTATTCAGCTGGAACAATTTATTGGCAGGACTGGTTTCTCTGACGCAGTGCTCAAAATTAAGGATGTAATGTTGTCCCGGGAACAATATAAATAGCACCTGGGACACAAAGACACAGTGTCTAGGACAATTCTGGGACAGTAGAGAAATGTATTATTACAAATGAAATGGTTACGTTTACATGTCATGGAATATGTATCATTTTAATTGTTAAAATTTGAAAAATGTGAGCTGGCACCGGCACCAGCTCTACGCTACATCACAGCCGTGCTTACATACACAAAATCAATCCTAGAGAAAGACCAGTGTAGCAAACTTGTCAACCTTCTCGATTTCTATATTTAGCGATTTTCAGAACCTCTCAGCAACTTTATTTCTAAAAAGTGACTAATGACAAATCTTGTGACTTATTCAGACCATCAGGGAGTAGGTGAGGAATACAATCCAATATATTATATTGTAATTTATTCCTATGCATGCTGCTCAGAGTAATTGCAGTCCACAGCTTTTCTGCCAACAGTGCAGTGGTCTCTCCCTCTCCGCTTGCAGGCAGTCAGGTGTGGCACATGGGGCACGTTTGACCTTCTCTCTTAATCTTTCTCTCCAGATCTCTGGATTGGGGTTATGTTCCTATAGATTGTAAATATTTAAATAGTTTGTTTAATCTTCTCCGTTTATTTAAAACCTCCAATATACATTCAGGGCTGGGTATCATTTACAATTTTTCAGTACAGTATACCTTCAGTACTCCTTTTTCAATACCAATAATAAAAAGCTAATTTTAACAAAAGCAAATTACATGACACATTACGCTACAATTACTCACTTAAGAGAAGGAAGAAATGAAGAAAGTGATGGAATATCTGTACAGTACTGACCTATATAAAAATAGAAATAACTGTCAAAAGGAAAAATAATAATAAACAGCAATGGTAATAATACTTTATCTGTGCTAAAGAGCAGCTCGCCTGGGTCTGCCAACCATCCAACGTGTCAACTTGAGCCTTCAGAAATGCTCAACGCCAAAACGGCAAATGCCACAACAGTCAGCCCTGTCTCTGGGCGTAAACACTGTGTTTTTACTGAATGCCTATCGTTAGGCGGCCTGCTGCGTGCTTAGTGGCGGTACTGTTACCAATGACAAGGCATTTTTTGATACTCAGTAGTATCAAAGCAACTGGGTCCCTGTAGTGAATTTGTGATTATTTGGCTAAGTAATAATAATAATGTTTAAAGCGTGAGAAACAGGTTTGCATTTGCACTGGAAATTGCAGTGATGTATTTACTTAATAAACAGAAATAAACTATAAACAGTAACTTAACCAATGATTAAAAGAATAATGATTACTGACTGTGGCCAAGGACCTAGGATGATTGCAATTTTTTATTTAGATGAGTGCAGGGAAGAACTAGCAGCACTTCCATGGCAGACCAGAGGGTCAATGGAGTGACGCAGGTTACTGAAACAAAGTTAATAAACCATTTCATTATAAAGAATGGAATAAAAGGACTTCAATTTGGGACGTTTGTGGGGCACTGAGGGAAAAAGTTAGCTTGATCTCTGCTCTCACAGATAATAAAGGACACTGCCTCATGTACTTGTTAAATCAATGACGGACCTCTGAGGCAGCGATTGTTTCAATTACAATTCAGCCCCACCAAATGGGAAAAAGTGCCATTTCAGGATATCATCTCTTCTGCTGGTTTGCTTATAAACCTGCCTGTCTGGTGGCTCACGTGACAGTGGTGGCAAGGCAGAGGAACAAACACCATGAGTTTAATGTAAGGTTACTTCCACATTCAACTACAAGCTATTGCAAGTATAAAGAGACTATTGGGCTGGTCTCATAAAGTACAGTAAATATGCAATTATACGAGGCATGCAGACGATGTTAAAAAGGTCCTGAAAATAAAAAACAATTCTCCAAGTCTTCTTCTTATTATGAGTGAGAATTTTAGTTATTTTTCATGAGAGATTTCTGTATTTGTGTTTGTGTCCTTGCTTATTCTCCCTGCTTCGCTTTGGAAAAAGGTGACAGCGATGTTGCATATTTCTGTGCACCACTGTCAACTCAATCCGATCAAACCACACCCCACACAGTCCTGATGAGGGAGACTCGAGTTTCTGGAGTGTTATACTCCAAAAACTTTCAAGGTTATAGAGAAATATGTAAGATTAAGTTTTAAGGGGCTTTCAAAGTCAAAACATACAATCAAAGAATCCTAGTAATATCAATAAGATACATGCCTCTTACATTATATGCGACACCATCCTTACCAACCAAGGCATCTGTGAGAATAAAAAGTGCCACATTTTTACATCCAGATGGCCATCTTTTCCATGAAATGTAAATCACTATAATGGAAACAAGTTCAGTAAAAATAAATCCTTTTAATCGTTCGAATAAAAAGTAAATTGAATGGGGAGGAAGAAGGGAAATGAGTCCTGATAGAGATTATGTCAGGGCAAAGGCAAACCCAGTCAAATAAATGGCTGCCATCTTAACAACAATGTACCGTACGACATAAAGACATGGATTGATCCACATAAAGTCCACAAAAAAACATTTTCAAACATGCTGAAGTATTAATTTCTAGAAGTTTAAAGCTAGTTTGCTTCATCAGGACACTGTGGGTGTGGTTTGATTGACAGTGGTATGGTAACGTGAGAAAATGACCCCAAAACCGTCTGCGAATTTGATTCAAATGTTCTCAAAACCTGGTGAATAGAAGTACATAAGAACACATTTTTGTCACTTAATGTCACAAATAAGTAAAAACAAC